CAGATAAGGCCTGATTCAGTTCAAAGTTTGTACATGGGTACTATACTTCAAGATAACACAACACCATGTTTTGTTTTGAGATTTGATCAAATTTGTCGGAATAGCAGCCATTTTGTTTAATATCTTAAAATCACAGTCTGTAACATGTCCGGAACTGTTTCACGGAGCTGAACAGGGTGATTTCAATCAAACTTTGTATGGTGATCATGCATATTGGGTTATAGGTTCACGTCACTTTTTTTGAGATTCGGTTCAAGATGGCTGACCAGCAGCCATTTTTTTTTTCGTTTTCGTGCAGATTCCTCCATATGATATGGCCTGATTCAGTTCAAAGTTTGTACATAGGTACTATACTTCAAGATAACACCATGTTTTGTTTTGAGATTTGATCATATTTGTCGAAATGGGCGGCAATAAGCTGAATTATCATGTCATCAGTGTTATTGTCATATTGTTTGTAGTCGTTTGCAGACGAGCGTTTAAAAAAGTCCACCGAGCTTCTACAAAGTATGAAGTTACTGAAATTATATGGCTGGGAAGAACTATTCACATCTGTTATTGAAAAAATTCGTACCAGTGAAGTGAGACAAATTGTTAAAAGTGGAATTTGTTTGATTATCTCATGTAAGTACTTACAATGGCATTTAGAGTCGTTTTTTCGAGTGTTCCTATATTTTGAAATTTTACTGAGACAATGTAGAATCAAAAATAATATTCACTAAAAAGCTATATTATGTGACTGTGTCAATATTAGCAATCCATTATCTGAGAGTCTGGTCATTGGTGTACAATTTTAAAGGCATTTGATCTCAATATTGCGTTTCTTTTTATTTCTAAACAGCATTTCTTTCACAATCAACTCCAGTCATTACCACCTTCATCGTAAGTATGTTTTATTTGTGCTGTTTTTTAGATTGTGAGCATGCAGTAATTTGCACACTTTATCACAGGTGAATACCAGATAAAGTAAATGAACTTATTGAAACACCTGCTCAAAACAATTTCTGGTGAATAATCACCTGTGATCGTTTAGAGTTATAAACAGACCTAGAAAACAACTCAGAACATATATCTTTACCAGATCATTAAGAATCCATTTTTTTCTTTATTTCTTTCTTTGTTTCTTTGTTTCTTTGTTTCTTTCTTTCTTTCCTTATTTCTTTTTTTTTTTTTTTTTTTTTTTTTTTTTTTTTTTTTTTTTTTTTTTGTTGGTTGATGCAAATGACCTGTCTCTCTCTCG